ACTCATCTTATTCATGTTAAATACATTAAAAATAGTGTACTTATGTACACTTTACATATATAGAATTAAAGAATACAAGTTTTGATACATAAGGCTACAAAAATGGCAATTCATGCCAACACTTTCATGAAAATGGTATTTCAAGTCTACTCAACTTCCATGGCATAGTGTGCATCCCAAATCAAGGTCCCTATACCTGAAAAATGTCCCCACTACATGGGTGAGTAACATAAAGCTACTCGTAGGAGATGAGCATGCATCGACCTAGCATTTTATAATTTTATCACCTTAAGGTGAAACATATTAGAGGGGCTTATGCCACCTAACGTCTATGTCAAAGTGAGACTCAAGGATCATCCTAAGCTACCTTAGAGTATTTCAAGCATAAATCAGATCATCTATGCAATTTAAGCAATACAAAGGCATGTTATACAAAGTAACTAGATATAAATTCTCCAAGTCCTCAACTTGAAATCTAAAACATGAAAACAACTAAAGTGGATCATGCCACCTAACGTCTATGTTCCAATGAATCTATAGGACCGTTCCTAAGCTACATTTGAATATCAAAATACAAATCATGATATCGATGCAATTTAACCAACATTGGAACTTCTAATACAACGCATAAAGCATAAGTCCTCTAAGTTAACATCTTGAAACTCAGAACGGGAAATCAACTAAAGAACAACAAGTTACGATATCAGCTAGTTATCAACTTGAAATGAAATGCGAAATCAACCAAAGTGGATACTTGGACGTCACGCCGGATCAGACCGACACCATAGTTACTTTAGGGTTACTAGCCCATGGTAAACCTCCCTATGTGCGCACAAGGCTATAAAGGGACAATCCCATGTACAAGAACCATGTCCTAGTTGTAGTCAAACAACGACATCCCCAAGTTTACAAAATCAACAAGTTGTGCTACAATGTATATATCAACATGTATATACAAGATATCAACTATCTACCATGCACAACCAAATTTGGAAACTCAAACAATACATGCTCTAAGTCCACAACTACTAAGGCATGACAAATACCGAATCTTTAGTGTATGATTCGCTAAACACTATGGCAATATCATTCAATATTGAAAACATAAGCTCGTAAATCTGATACAAGTCTAAAATCATGATTTAAACATACGACCAACGTCTAACATATGATTAAATCCTTAATGCTATAGAAACGGAATTTAATCAATTAAACAAATTAATTTCTCTAAGTTTCAATTCTTAACCAAATGGTCCCTAATTAACACATGCTAGTATGCAAGTCCTAGTCATCACCAATATCAAGTTAAAAACTTAATTAAACCAATAGAACCTTTAAATAGATTTTAATTAATCATTTTAATTAAAATTTCTAGATTTTCATACTTATCCAAATGCTCTCAAATTAAAGTATGTTGGGGAACATGCCAAGGCCTATTTAAATATCACATTACAACTTAATATCATGCTTGTTACAACCATGTGAATTAAACTTTCACAAAAGATAAATATTAAATAAAATTTGCAATTCTTATTCAAATAATCTGAATTTAATATATGTTAACAAACATATTAAAGCCTAATTTATCATCAACCCATAAGTCAATTCTAAACTATATACATCCTTGTAGATTAAATCTTACATAAAGAAATAAATAATACTAATTTTCTAGATTTGATACAAGGTATACAAACAAGTGTAAAAAGCTTCTAGAATCATCAATACAACATTAAAATGAAACTATAACACCCCCTACCTCAATTTGAGATGAAAATCTCAAAAGCCAACAAAACGAAACGGCTCTGAATCCGACAATACTTTGGGGTTTTGTCGAGGAAAATGCCGTGAACAAGAATCCCAAAGAAGCCCCTTGAAAATCACAACCAAACTCCAAACCTGAACTCACAAAATGGCCAGAAATGGGTTCTAATAAGGGAAAAAGATGCGCGTCGCCAAGACAAGCACTAAACACAAAGGCACTTCGACTTTTTAACCAAGGGAAGAGCTTCAAAAGAGGAGAGAGGTGGTGGAAGCATGGCTGCCAAGAATGGCTGGCCAAGAGAGGGGTGGGAGATGACAACATCTCACTTTTTGACTTTAAGTCCCCTATTTATAGAAAATCTCAAAAAGTGCCCCGAACGGGTCCAGAAAAGTAGAATTTGAGCAGACGTGCTCAAATGGCAAAACTCCATGAACAAAAAAGGTTTAAAATGAGAAAACATTAACAATGGAAGAAACAACATCAAAAACTAAGTCCCGAGGTTATGACCTGAACAAATTCGGCGGAAACCGGAGCCAAAAACCCTGAAACTGGAGAAAAACAACCAGAAGGGAATTCTATGAGTACAAGACTTGACGAAATATGAAAATGAATCCCGTACAAGGATCCAGGCTCAAAATGAGGCATTTTTGCAATAATTTTCATTAATTGCACAATGGCCCCTCTAAAAAGTGAAAACTGCACAACTGACCCAGAATGAAAATATCTTCCAAAAATATTTTCTTAAAAACCCCTAAAATTAAATATCTTCAAAATATATTTATGAAAAACACCCCAAGAAAAGAAAAAGATTCTGAAAAACTATGCATCCATGCCTCTATGGACACCGGGAGTAACCAGAGTACTTTCTTACAAAAGTAAATATACGTATTTCATGGAAACCACTTAAGATGAAGGTACGTAAAGTCAAAAACCAACTCCGAGCATGAAAAGTGAGGTTATGCCAAAAAGTGACAATCAGGTTAAAGACAAAATAGGGAAAAGGACGAAAATTGAATAGTGTCGAAAAATGAAAAGTGTGGAAATGACTCGGTCCTTAGAGGAAGCTGCCAATCCAAATGAAAGAGTCTCAGAAACTATTTCCGAGCACTTGATATGACACTAAGTGACGAGAAACCAAACACAGAAAAGAAAAGACAACGAAAAAAATTTATCCACAAAATTTGAGGAAAAGGAAAAGGAAGAAAATGACCGAGGCATTACACATTTAAATTCCAAGTTTTGCCTTTGAAATATAACTTATTTAACTTTGGAGGTTTGGCATGTGATTTGGAGTAAATTTTATGTAATGAGGCCATGGGCCATTGTAACACATTTTAATATGTAAAGTACATTTGTTGGCATCCTTGCACAGCTTTAAAAATTGTTTTTGGACCAATTCATGATGGGAATTGAGGCTTGGGTTGAGCCTCATCATTTCTGGTGCATAATAGGTGTTTTTGCACTTTCTCGAGTCAATTTGGCCAACCGAAATGCCATTTCGATCGACCGGTGACTTTTGGATTTCATTTGAACAATTTAAACTCATTTTCCAGTAGCTTAGGTACTGCTTTGGCCACAATCGGTCGACCGATACATCATTTCGGCCAACCAAAGTGACTTTTCCTCAAAATTCAGTTTTTTGGTGATTCTGGGTTCATTTCAGCTTACCGAAATGGCCATTTCAGCCAACCTAAATAGCTCACACATAACTACCCTTCAGTTTTGTATAAGCTTTGTTCCTCTGACTTCAAATGGTCATAACTTCTTCATTTCTAATCCAAATGGGGTGATTCTTAAGCCTAAACTCAATGATTTTAAGTCAGCTTTCCAATGGTACTAATTCCACTCTCAGATTCAAATCAAAGTTGGAGTTATTCATGTTTTAGTGACATAGTATCAGATTTTGTTTAAACCGGGAATGTGAGTCTTGTGGGATTCTTGGCCAAAGTTCTTTGAACCTCTTGGAATGTTGTGAAATGATTAGTTTAGGTTGTGTGGACCTCATTTGACTTACTTGGAGTCAAATTTCCCTTTTTATTTGTAAATTGACCATTTTGCCCTTAATTAACGGATTTTACCCATTTTGATTCTCGTTTACTCATTCGTTTTCTTTGAGTTCCGTGACTTCATGGAAGGTCACATTGGTGTCTTGGGGATAATTTATTTCTCTATAGACTCTGGTTTTATCTTTCGCTTTCGCATTTCGGATCCGTTATCGGGTTAACTTTTGGGTCATCACTAACGCACCGGGTTGCAAAACTTGGGCCTTCATAGTAGAGGTCATTTCAGTGCAAAGAAAGCCGCTTCTAAAGTTCTTGAGTGCGATTTCTTTTGGCCTTCTCTCTTTAGGGTTTCGTATGAGTTTTGTTGGCCATGTATGTGATGTCAACCGTTAGGGTCTATTTCTAGAAGAACGTGATACCTTTGACTCTAATTTTAATCATTGAGGTCTTTGATGTCTGGGGTACAGATTTCGTGGGTCCTTTTCCTCCTTCGAGTGGTCATGAGTATATTTTTATGGCTATTAACTATGTTTCCAAATGGGTTGAGGCAGTGGCTACTAAAACTGCCGACCATATGGTCGTGGTTGAGTTCATTCAAATGAACATTTTTAGTCGGTTTAGTATACCACGAGCTATTATTAGTGATGGAGGTGCTCAATTCTGCAACAGGTATTTTCGTACCTTGTTATTCAAATACTCCGTCACTCATAAAGTCACTACTCCCTATCAACAAATGGCCAAGTTGAAATATCCAATCGTGAGATTAAGAACATTCTTAAGAAAACGGTTAAACAAGATCCCAAAGATTGGTCCTTAAGACTGAATGATGCCTTGTGGACTTAACATACTTCTTTTAAGACTCCAATTGGCATGTCACCTTACCATCTTATCTATAGTAATGGGTGTCATCTTCCGGTAAAGTTAGAGCATAGAGTCTTTGGGCTATCAAAAAGTTCAACGTTGATTTGAACTTAACTGGCTCTAATCAGAAGCTTCAACTGATTGAACTCAGAAAATTACGTAATGATGATTATGAGAGTGCCAAAATCTATAAATCCAAAACCAAGGCATTCCATGATCATCACATATTGCATAAGACTTTTGAGCCTGGACAAAGAGTTTGGTTATTCAATTCGAGACTGAAACTTTTTCTTGGAAAAATTCGGTCACAGTGGGATAGTCTTTACATGGTTACTTCTGTTGTGCCCCATGGCGCAGTAGAGTTACAAGATCGTAAGACTAGGGAGTTGTGGAAGGTCAATGGACAGAGATTGAAACCCTACATAGAGGGTAGTGTGCAGAGAGGTATAGTGGAGTCCATCGATCTTAAGGATTCCATTTACTTGGACTAAAGGAGTCACTTTTGCATCAAGCTAGCGACGTTAAACTTAACACTTATAGATTTGTACTTTAGTTTGGTTTGTTTTGTTTTGTTTCTTTTTCTTTTTCTTCTTTTTATTTTTTTTATAGGTTTTTAGGTGTATTTATGTGTTTTTATTTTATTTTTAGGTTAGGTTAGTCTTAGGTTTATTTTAGAAAAAAAAAAAAATTGAAAAAAAAAATTTTGTTTCAAAAAGCTCGAGCAGAAAGATTTCTGCTCGAGCACTAGCCTTTATAGGGCTCGAGCACAATTACATGTGCTCAAGTATTTCGGCATAGCTAATAAATGGGCCAAGGCATTTTTGCTCGAGCACATGACTTTGTGCTCGAGCGCTGTGTTATAAAAATCTAAAAAAAAAAACCTGGTGCCTTTTCATTCTTCACTTTTTCCTTCAGCATTCTTTTTCTCTCATGAAGCTCTCTTTCTCCCAATCTCTATCTACTCTTTGCCGTGGTCGTCCTCGTTGATTCAAGCTTCGATTTTGCTAAGGTAAAAACCTCCATTCTTTTTTTTTCTTCTTCTTCTTCTTCATTCGGGTTCCATTATATATATATGTGTGTGTGTGTGTATATATATATATATATGTCTATCTATCCCTCTCGATTATGCCCAAACTTCACTCTCTTTCCTTCTCTACATTAACCTAAGCCTCATTACACTAACCCTTAACCTCTTGACTTGCAGAAATTCCAAATCGCTTTAAAGGATTCGAAGAACACAAGTTTGGGGGTTTTGCAATTTGTGTGTTTGGGTGGCGTTAGGGAAGTTGTTTGGTTGTTTGTTGATGTGTGGAGGGGTGTGGAATTAATTTGGAGGATTGGGAACAAATTTTGGAGGAGTTTGTATTTAGTTTGCACACCTAGTTTTTGCTCGAGCATTTTTATCTCTGCTTGAGCATTTTACTGACAGAGCTCAAGCATAATTTTTAGAGCTCGAGCCTTTTGGAACAATAGTGGACTTTTTGGGTTATTTTGCTTGGATTACTGTATGTTGTTACAAGGGGAGTTGGGGTGAGCTTGACGGGGTGATTTTGACTTGTTTTGGAGGCCGGGGTTGATATTTGTGTTAGATTTGTTCTTGTAGAAGATTTGTTGTTATGGCTAGAGGACCGGAGTCTAGAAGAGCACCACGGGCTACGCCCAGTGCTATAGAGGCCACCTGGAAGGCCTGTACATTCCAGATGGAAACACAGTTCACTGTAGCCGACTTTAGTGAGCCCGGGCATACTTTTTAGGGCATCGAGGCATTTAGAGCCCATCAGCTCACCCCGTACACAAAGCATACCCCCGCCTAGTCCGGGATTTCTATAGGAGATTAGTCCTTCAAGCTAGTAAAAAGGAGGGAGAGGAGGACTTTTTTACCACCACAGTGGATGGGGTAGAGATGATTATTACTACTACTTCTATAGCAGATGTTATGGGATGCCACAACATGCTCCCTGAGGCTTTTCAGGACCAGCTCACTCCTTTGCCCATAGGGCTTACACATAAAAAAAATGGTACAATCCATTTCCTAAGGGCGATATGCCAGTACTCTTCAGCTACTCGGAAGTCTTAGCTTCTGAATAGGTTTTGGTTTGTAGACACAGTTCTACATGCCAACGTACGCCTTATTGGACATAGGATAGAGAGGCACAAGGATTTTTTGGAGACTCTTTACACTATTCATGCTAGCCACTTTATTACTCAGAGTCGTCATTGGTCCGATGAAGAAGCTGTAGAAGGAGATAGGGCCCAATGGTAGGACCCCTAAGCATCCACTACTATTCCCCTGCCTTATCACCCGTCTGCTCACATTAGATCACTTTCAGCTCCCTCATAACTAGGCGTATGTCACGACATGCCTAGTATTCTGCTTTCAGGAGTATAGCAATGTCTGGTCGCACACACCGAAGGTGCGGTAGGGGGAGTGGGCCCTCGATAATGAGATCCAAAATGAGCGGTAGTAAGTGGCTGCTGAGGCTCGAGGTGAGGAGTATGTTGTTAATAGCCCTCTTTTTCCATCTACTGGACCAGCTACAAAGGCCAATGAGAGAGCTCCTCCTGCTAATGATGATGAGGAGAGTTTAGGGTCAGAGGAGGTAACGGACACCGATGACCAGCCCCAGGCTACAGCAGTGCCTGAGAAATCTTCTTAAGCTGATATCATCGAGCCACGTGCCGAGCTGGCACAGCTGAGGTCAAAGCTAGCCAAGTCCCGTGCAAAGCATACATAGTCACAGGCTATCATTCAGAGCCTATTGATAGCACACCAAAGGACTTTAGATGAGCTTATCTATCATTCTTCTATAGATGCGTCGACTTCTACTACTATTCCTCCCGATGCCTAATAGAGTTGCAAGGGCACCATTTTTTGGATTAGATTTTCTGTATAGGCATTATGATGACTAGGACAGACATTTTTAGTGTATTTTGTTTCTTTTTGTTGTATTTCTGCCCTAAGTCTTATTCCAAGCATTGTACTGATATTTTGACATATATATATATATATGCTTGTTTTGCCTATTTTGCCCTTGTCTATGTATGGATGTTGTATTTACTTGTGCATAATGATATATATCTATTTTACTCCATATACTTGATACTCTGATATGTGTTATGGAGTTTGATTATTTTGCCAGGTGTTGTGGACCAAGTTTGGGGGTGATTTTCCTATTTTGCCTTTCTACACTATAATTGTTTATCTTTGTTGGTTCTACTCGCTCTTAGTAATATCTTTCTAACATCAACTTAGTTTTTACATATTGAGGACAATGTACATAATAAGTTTGAGGGTAAGATAATACCTGGTGTGTTCCGTCGCAAACACCCAAATTGCACAAAAATGTGATAAAATGTGGCCAAGTTTGAATTTATAGAGTGCCACTACCACTACTAACTATTAATGTAGCTAGAGTAAGTAGGGATCGTCCCAAGGGAAATGCACGATATTCTTGCTTGGAAATCTATGTTGGATTAGTAGGTCGAGTGATCAAAGATGGTTTGTGGTTGAATTGTACTACAATTTAAACTAAATGAATGTAATGTAAAACAACTAAAAGAATATGGGGTGTGGAGAATATAAGAGAGGAGTCTTGGGTCATAGAGTTCAACACTAAGCATAACCTTCCTAGACATTCAATATTTGATGGATTAAGGGGATTGTGCATTGTAAATGAAAGTGTGTGCCATTAATTGAATTATCAAGCATGGATGGCAAAGTAAGTATACATTGTCTAGTCAATCTAGTGAGTAGCACAACATATCAAATCAAGTCATTAATCCTTCTTTAACTCTACAACTAACGCGCACTCATTAAATTATAAAAATATACTACTTGCACTCATAAGCATGGAACATCAAACAACATGCATGGATTGTCCACCTATCTAAGAAAGTAAAGCAATTACACTACAACTAAGCTAGTGACATGAAAATTAAACTAAGTAAACTAAGGAGGTGGCATAACCCATCAAGAAATAAGTATAAACCATCAAATAAACCACAAGAGTAATTTATTTAAGCACCATGCCTTGACCATCACTAAATTCATAATATCAACGCATATAGACATGCATTAATGTCATAAAACCTAGAGATAAACACATGAACATTCATTCTAGCATACATCGACATATGGATAGAATTAAATGATTAACTGGAAGTATTAACCTACATAAATTATTGTAGAAATAAGATTTATATATATATAAGATATCAAGATAAGAATTACAACACAAATCCCCATTAATTACAAATTATCAAAGTCTAGGAGGCATGCTTAGGGCTATCTCTAACCCCAAGAGAATGGTTTAGCCACTCATTAATATAGTCATCCAACCCTCAAGGGCTATCTCCATGGTAGAAATCATCATCTTCTTCTTGGTAGAAACCCTAGATGAGTGGAAGAACTTTCCCAAAATGTATATGTCTCTCTCTAAACTCTAGCCTCTCTCTAAACTAATCCAACCTCTATGATGTATCTTTCTTAAAAAATAGACAAAATACTTATATAGGTATCTCAAATGTCACACCCAAAGGTCAGACCTCATGCACTACGACCTCCAAATGATTGCACCACAAGCACACCTTTAAGTTGGCTGGAATTCTATTTTTTACGTACTTGAGACCGTTCGATCGATCATAAGGTTGCTTAAATCAATCAAACCATGGCGGTGCCTTTTTGGGTAAGACAAAGCTGAGATATTTTTGGGATATTTTTAGGAAAAGGACAAAAGTGATAGGTGAGGATAAGATCAAAAATGTTCGGTCGATCGAAGGAAAGGTTGGATCAATTGAAAGGGAAATTTTTCTAAAGATAAGGACAAAAGGCTCGATCCATCATGACATAGTTGGATCGATCACAGTGTGATCGATCGGAGATTGGTTCGATCGGTCTGAGAAGGCTTCTTTCGCCACTTTGCTTCTTTCTTCCACTAAACTTGAGATTGCTTCTTTTAATGCTCTAATTCAGCTGAATTTACTTATTTTGGGGATAAGGGAAATAACATGAAATAACATGAAAAGGGAAATAACATGAAATTAGACTAAAACGGGAAAATAAGATAGATAAAGATCCTAGAACACTCAAGCTTAAGGGGTTTAAATGCGCACCTTTTAGCGCTTATCACACCCCCAAACTTAATTATTGCTAGTTGCTAGCAATGAACTATAAAGTAAAGAAGTGAAATGAACAACTAAACAACTATAAACTAGAAAGCAATAAATGGATAATGCCACTTTCATAGGGAACACGATTGCATTTAGCATATGCAACAAGCCTTTTAAACCCCTAGGTTACCCCTAGTGGACGAGTAAAGTCTCGTGAGAAGCTCATTCTCACTAAAGAGGCACCAATATTCCAAACAAGCATTGGGATAAATCTACTTCAAGTATGCAATTTTTTAACCACTTCTAAGCAATCTCCCAAAATCTCAACATCAAGCAAGCAAGTGTGGTCCTCCACACATCAAGGCAATGATCATGCAAATCAAAACCACTCTAGAATCCTTTTTAAGTGAACCGGCATCAAATATGTTGTTATCTAAGCCAACTAAAGAAATGATCACATTCGGCCTCAAACTAGTACACAAATCTAGTACCAATCATCAAGACAAAGAGTGGACCTTTTATTAAAGATTTATTCAACTAGGTGTGCTTATTCTTTTTACTCAATTTTTTTCTTTTTTTCTAATCCTAAGGATCAAAGATGGAAGCATAGTGCAATATGTTGATCTATTAAGCTTTCTTGTGATCCATAAGGTCGAGCGTTAGGTCAATGACTCTCAAACCGAACGGCTTTAGGGCATTAGGCGTTTAAAAACCCCTAAGGACTTACAAGCTCAAATCATCTAAGCTATAAATCAAAACAACCTCCATCTAATCATTTCCCACTTCTCACCTTTTGGGAGAAGTCTTCACTTTTTTTCATTTGCTTTTGCAACTTTTTTTTTTTTTTTTTTTTTTTTTTGTATCAAGTTATTAACCTAGAGTTTGGGCCCTCCACCTTTCAGCGCGAAAAATTTAGTACTTGATCAGGCTAAAATCCCAGCTACTTAGTGAAAAAGGTTTGTTATCCACCTTTATCAAGAATGAAAGCTTTCAATGCACTACTAGCTCAATTGGGATATAATCAAATCAATAATCAACAAAGCATATACCCCACAAATGAATGCAAGTGTGTGCACATGCTAGTGTAGAATCCTAAAATGAATCTTAAAACAATCACAAGGTAAAGATGATGTGGACAACAAGTGCAAGCAAGATATCAATCTTTCAAAAAATTTACTCATAAATGGCATCCACAAGGCATACAAGGAGTATTGGACTCTCAAGTCAAGCAATTTTTAAATTTTAAGTATCATGGTCCTCAAAAGATCAAAATCATAGCTAACATAGATCTTCAATCTCAATCATGCATTAAAACTCAACTTTAAGTAGAATGCAACAAAGACACCTTACCCCCAAACTTAAATAGCATATTGTCCTTAATGTGCAATGAGAATAATGGAAAAGATGGAAAGAGTATATCGTGGTGGAGAAACGATGAAGCCCAGTAATGATCCATTGGCAAATAGTGCACCCCCAAACTTGGAATCAACAACCTATTTGAATAACCACACTAGAAAACTCACATCAAATATCAAATGGGATAAAATAAGTAAATCAAGCATTCTAAGGCAATAAAGCACAAGATGAAAGAAAGATATGAGATCAAACCCAAGATAAATCATAAAGTATGCATAACTACACAAAAGGGCACAGCAGTGAAAAGTTTTTATATTTTTATTTTTATGAAAGTATGTATATACAAAATGCAAGAAAATCAAAGAATAAAATGCATGAATAAAATACAAAAAGAAAAATTAAAAAGGTAAAATGCAATGAAAGAATATGTACAATGCAAGAAATGAAAAACAAAAAGTAAGAAAGGATGCAAGAACAAAATAATTAAAAAATGAAAAAAACTTTTTTTATTATATATATATATTAATGTATGAAAAACGCAAAGAAAAATGAAAAATGCAAGAAATATACAAAATGGCTGCTAAGTTTAGCATCTCTAGCAAGACGGAATGCTACTTTGAAACACATATTTTTTTTTTTTTTTTTTTTTTGTAGAAACACTATGATCGATCGGAGGATGATCGAATAGATCGATCCAAGATATAAAAACTTGCATACACATTCGAATGATAGACAGAGAGATGAAATTTTCAGAGATTCAAAAATTTTCGAAGTACAGAATTAAGATCGATCGAAGTATAAACTGGATCGATCGAGGAAAATTGGATCGATCGGTTAGGAAACTCGAACAATACACAGAGAGATGAAATAAGCAGAGAATCTTCACATGATGGATCAGAGAGGTGAAAATATGCAGAGATGATGTTCGATCGATCGAATATCTCTTATGATCAATCGAACAGAGATGAAATGCTACTTTTATGAGATAAGAGTGCAAATAATCCATACAAGCTTTTAGGGATGACAACAAAAAGAGTGAGTAATACTCTAAGATAGCCATATTGAACATCCCTAGATTGCACTAAGCACATCACTAAATTTCTTCATAAATAGGGTCCACCAAGAGGGCGGCTTTCATATGTGTTTGAAAAAACTTTCCCTTTAATGTAGGACTTCAACTATTATCCATTAACTTTGAATGTAGATCCATCTTTTAAGCTTTGTATTTCAACCACCCCGTAAGGCGCAACAAAGATAATCTCATATGGGCCTTCCCATTTGGTATGCAAATTTCCAAGAAAGAGTTTAAGCCTAGAGTTAAAGAGCCATGCTTTTTGGCCAAGTTCAAAAGATTTCTTCACAATATGTTTGTCATGAAAAGATTTAGTTCTTTCTTTGTAGAGTTTGGCATAAGCATTGTGTCTCAACTCTTCCAACCCATTCAATTGAAGTAAATGATTCTCTCCGGCTTTATCAATGACAAGATTGAGCTTTTTAACCGCCCATATAGCTTTATGTTCTAGCTCCACCGGAAGATGGCAAGGCTTTCCTTATACAAG